GATGGATGGATGGATGGATGGATGGATGGATGGATGGATGGATGGATGGATGGATGGATGGATGGATGGATGGATGGATGGATGGATTCTCACACGCATCATCATCCTGTCTCCATTGCAGCCACAGCCAAGACAGAGGAGCTGCCCCTGCCCTCAGAGGAACCCCAACCTGAGGACCCCAAAGGAAAAGACCCCCCAGCTGAGGCCACTCCATCTGCGGCGCCCCTGGCACGGGCAGTGCTGGGAGAGCTGGAGGTCTCCAGTGTCACACCCAGCTCTGTGCAGTTGCAGTGGAATGTCCCTGAGGGCTCCTTTGACTCCTTCATGCTGCAGTACCGGGATGCTCAGGGCCAGCCCCAGGCACTGCCCATTGATGGCGGGTCCCGATCGGTGATGGTGCCAGGGCTGTCCCCTTCCCAACGGTACCGCTTCCACCTCTATGGGCTGAGGGGAGGGAAAAGGATTGACCATGTCTCCACTGAGGCCATCACTGGTAAGGGGCTGCAAGGACTCCCCCAGAGCCTCTCAGGGAATGGAGCTGGAGTGGAGACAGGGCTGGAAGTGGGGCCCAGGGGGAGCTCGAGGAACTGGGGAATGGGGCTGTACTGGGGGAGCCAGAGAAATGAGGGGGACTAGGGAGCTCGGGGGGCACTGAGGACTGGGGAATTTAGAGGGAAGTGGGAACTGGAGGCAGCCAGGGATTGGAGGGGACTGGAGATTAGGGGGAGTGCCACACCTGGAGGGACTCTGATCAGCTGGGGGCTGAGGAACTGGGAACAGCTAGGGGGACTGGCTAGAACTGGGGCCTGGGGCAATCAGGGGCCTAGGTGAAACTGTGTGGAACTGGGGAATGGGGTGAACTGGGGTGAACTGGGGCTGGGGTGTAGCTGAGGACTGGCAAAGATTGAGGAAATCTGGGCACTGGGAAGAATTTTGGGGGTACTGCATATCTGTGGGGATCTGTGAACTGGGAGGGACTGGGGACTTGGGGGAACTGGAGGAATATGGGGGATTAGTTATTGGGGTGGCTGAGGGCAATTTGAGAGTTGGGGGGGATTGGGACCAATTGGGACCAGTGGGGACCAGGGAGAACAGTGGGGAACTGAGACTACAGAGGGATTGGGAGCAGCTGGGACTGAGGGTACTTGGGAGAACTGGGGGAAACTGGGAGGGACTGGAGACTAGAGTGGAGCTGGGGACTGGTGAGTACTGGGGGAAACTGGGCACTGGGAAGAACTCGGAGAACTGGGGGGATCTGGGAACTGGAAGTACTGAAGGAAACAGGTCTGGCAGGCATTGGGGGAAACTGGGGCCTGAGGGTGACTGGGGGAGGACTGGGAAAATTGAGGGGGAACTGGGTCATCTCCATTGGGTATGGTGTGTGGGCAGGACTGGGGGGCCTGTGGGAGTGTTTGATGTATCAGTGGATTGGGGGG